GTACGGGCGCCTTAAAAAAATATACAAATTTTTTGGCGGAAAAGCGATCTCAGGAATTAGAAAGGATAGAGAGTCGAAACACTGCAGGGATATTCTCTGCGCATGTGTGAGTTAAAGATTTCAGATTCAGTTCCTAGTTATGCTTGATTTTCATGTGCGGGCACGTGAAAATTTCTTCGGAAAAAGTGCTAACTCGCCAATCAGAAGAGCTGGAAGGCTGAAATTTTAAAGATTTATTCCTCGTTCACGTACAACTTAAAATTTCAAATTCAGCCCCTCCCCCTTTTCCTCTGGGAAGCGTGGTACTTGCGTACGGGCATTTAAAATTTTCAGTGGAAGAATTACTAACTCGAGAATCAGAAAAGATGGAAAGCTGAAATTTTAGGGTAATGTTTCTTGTCTAAGTGCAACATAAATGTTTCAAAACCAGCCTCCAGGCGTTCCTGGTTCTTACGTATGGGCACTTAAAAGTTTTGACAGGAAAATTACTCACTGAACAACTAGGTCACTTTCAAAGAATAACTGTTAAAAGGAAATTGTTCATTTCCTTTATACAAAATTTACGATAATGGCGCTAGCGAACGCAAAGTGCAGGTGCAAAGCAACAACTATTCATGCAGTTAGCGACCTGAGTACCTTGGGTTTGATGCAAAAACGCATGATCGCATCGGCAAGCCCGGTGCATCTCATTATGCGTTTTGGCACATATTAAGTGCAAAAACACATATTGTGGTGACCCCGGTGTGCGCGTGTGTGTGTGTGTGTGTGTGTATATATATATATATGTGTATGTGCGCGTGTGTGTGCGTCTGTCCGCGTATTTCAACTCGGAAACCAAGCAAGCTCCGACGGCAAAATGTTGCCAATGGGTTTCCAGGCCAAGGCCATCTTAGGACCGCTGTACCAACCTTCACGTGTGTCTGCACCCGCGTGCGAGCGCGTCAAAGTTTTGGCAGCAAAATCGTTAACTCGGGAATCAAAAAAGCTAGAAAACTGAAATTCTGAGATTATGTTTTCCGTCCGCGTAAAACCCAAAGATTTCAAATCCAGCTCCCAGGCGTGCGTGGCTCCCTGTGAAAGTTTCTGACGGGCAAATCGGAACCAGAAAAGCTAGAGGGTTGAAATTTTAGCGGAATGTTCTCTGCATAAGCAGTACGTGGTTGCGCAGCTAACTGCCTGAACTACCAGCACCAATTTGCTACAAATCCTAGCTGCTGGGATTCCACCGGATCTTATTACAGTACGAAATATTGCAAAAAGGCATGATCGTATGGACCCACCTGGTGCGTGCCGCCAATGATTTTTATGCGTTTTTTGCATCTGTGCAATGCAAAAAACGTATATTGACGAGAGGTGGTCTGAGTATGCGTCTATACTGATTTTTCATCTCGAGACCTGCAAAAGTTACAGAGCCGAAAATTTAGATTCTTAGTCTACATCACGTGCGGTCCCCATCCTCAAAATGAGCTAGGGGCCCGCCAAAGTTCTTGGCGGGTAAGTTGCTAACTCGGAAACCTGAAAAGCTAGAAATTTAAAGGGTTTCCCCGTCCACGAAGGTCCGAATGAGTTCAAACCCAGCCCAGGATGCGCGTGGTTCCTATGTAGAGCCCGTGAAAGTTTTTTGTGGATAAGTCGTTAACTCGGGGACAAGGAAAGCTAGAAAGCTGAAATTTTAAACGGATGTTTCCTGATAGTCCTGGCGACCAGTCTCAATTTTTTTAGCTGGAAGCATCTGCCGGTAGCAACAAAAATCTGCAGGAACTATGCAAAAAACGCGTCTTCGCGCGGCAGTCGGTGCGCTGCCTTTTGTTTCGTTTTAATATAGTAGTTACAATAAGAATGCATTATGGCGAGATCATGTTAGTGTGTATGGTGGACATGTTCTGTCTGGTTTTTGCGAGGGTTCGGCGCCAAAACTATGAACATGCCGAAGCTGAAATTATAAAATCACAGTTTCTAACACACATTAGTGCGGAAACATAAAACCAGTTTCGGGATGTATAGTAGCTGGAGGCAAATTTGAAACTAAGTTACGATCGTGACTTGTTACCGCAGATCTAAGTACCGGCTAAATTTATGACCTGAAAATTAGGATACTGAAAACTAAAAATTTCGGCAGATTTATTGGTGTGGCGCAAGTACCTGGGAATCAACTCCCAGTTCTATACTGATCTATGACTTCAACCCGGAATTCGCGTCAGTTTCATAATTAAAGAACTAAAGACCATCAGCTGGGGATTTTAACAGATAGTTTTGGACGAAAAATAAGAAACCTGTCCTCACACTTTGCTACACCCTTATTTATGACCTCAAACCCATATTTATTCCTATTTCTGATTTTTACTTCTGAGTCTTGCAACTTCCAACTCTCAGAACAGCTTGTAGCTAAAACCCATAGCTAATCATGCGAGCCTGCTTGCGCGTGCCTTTATCTGTTTGAACTCCAGATGCAATAAAAGTAATTTTAGAGGAATATGAAGAAGAAGAAAGTCCATTTGGTGGCCCGCGGCCGATGGTCCCGTTCTCGTCCATGTTCATCTTTTCACCAACAAACCCGTTTGTCTTTTTTATTTCCGAACAACCAACAAATCCTTTTTATTTCCAAACCACTGCTTGTTCATTCTTAACTTTTTAAAAAACTTTTTCAGCTAAATGCCGCCCTCAGTTTCATACTGATATCTTTAGTTTCTGAACGGTAGCTAAACGTTCACTATTGCTGGAGGAAAACATGCAGTATAGCTGCAGTGTACGTCTGCATTTGTCAACGCCCATGGCAGTATTCTTGATCATGCGTGCATCAATATTTGAATGGGCTTGCCTAAAATAAATAGGCTTGTGCATTTCTGTCAGGAATGAGGAGCTGTGTTCCGAAATTTGATGCGTGC